CTATGGGCAATGTCTCATGTACACGACAAATCAAAGAACTTTGCTCGCGTTGATGGATCTAAAACTGAGCGCAAATTTTATGAAACTGATTATTCCATATTGCAGAAAACAACCTTTTCCCAACCGTTTTCTGTGTAATGTTCTCTAGAAGTTCATATTTTCTATCAAATGAATGAAGTTTATTCGCTCTCGCGAAACTATCATTAGGTTCATAAAAGCTTGACGTTAGCAGTTATAATATTTAGTTTCGAAAAAACCTCAATTTTAAACTCAAAAATTCACGAAATGAAAGTTTACTCACGGTTCATCTTCATCATTATCATCGCCATCATTTTCATGCAATTCCTTCTCGTTGTTTTCCATAGGCCAGGTTTTTTCATAAGATTCTAAACATAACAAGCTTGGTTTTTCAATAATGAACATGAGTTAGCAAACGCAAAGAAACTAGATATTCAATGGACAAGTTTCACAGTTTTTTATTTAAACAAATTTGGGAAAGTTTTATTTACCGTTCAAAATCCCATCATCACTTTTTACTTCATCGTGAGTTGCGGCTGAGTAACCAACATTACAAAGCAAACCAAGAGCAAAAACAAGATAAGTTCTCTTCATATTTAATACATTAACCTGTCTTCTTCCCTTCTCAACAGCTGGCTGATGAATGATGATCGAAGACAATAACAACAACTTAGATAGAGCACAGCAGTAAAAGAATCTGTTATGATTTACATAATTTTAAGATCTGTTTCATACGCTGCGTTTAATATGTGCCGAATTCAATTTAAATTGTACTTTCTTTTGTGTTATTCGGTAGTTAATGCATACAGGTGATACATAACTCTATCTGATTCAAACTTAATAAGCACTAAGTCATCTCGCTTTGGCTTTTTATTTTCACCCCTGATGGTGCGTCCTCAATGAAATTTTCAAGGAAAAAATATGATGGAATTTTTAATAGAAACGAAATGATTACGTAAGCAAACGCTAAGAAACGTGTTATTTCCATTTATTGCGATTCTTTGTAAACAATATGCATATGATCATGATACTTTTAGTATGTTACGAATAGAATAGAATCGATTATCAGGTAATGATGAGACATTTTTAGCTAATTTTGATTTGCAGATACTTCGTTGGAGTTTCTGGGCGTCATTGCAAGCTGTGTAGCGTTTTTTGTGCTATTAGTCTACCTTTCCGACAGTAAACCCTTGTGCTAAAAATATGAGATCAACTTACTAATTTTGCACAATGAAATGGTCGGACATAGTATTGTTTTATGTAGCATAGAGTCAATAAATGATGGCATGAGGCATTTGTAAATGTGATTCCAGTTACACAAAACGATTGTTTTTAAAGGCTTAAGATATAAGAGAGATGCTGCCCGTCGAATCGACGATGGCTGTCTGCAACTATCATCCGTATTGATGGACTTTTGATAGCAGACTGCATGCACAGTGAGAACAGCATGGTTGTGCAGGCCATGTTCTATTGGCTTGGCCACGCGGTTCCATCTTCAGTGGCACAAATGATCGCGACGACTGTGAAACTACGCAGTTGCAGGGAGAGGCCGTTGACACAGTTAATCCGTGAGCGCCCTTTGCACACGTCGGTGGGCCTGGCCTGTCGTGACTGCGGGGGGTTTGTCCTACGGAGGTTTCTGTCAGGGTTACCTCACCCTTAGCTTTTGGGCAGTCAAACCCATACCGCAAGGCAGTGGGTTCCAGTTAATTTAAGGGCGCCGGAAACTCTCTCCTCGCCCGTGCCCCGTTAGCCAAACACAGGCTGCACAAAGAGTAGGTGGGGTTGACTTGACTGACAGAAGCTTTATTATTGCTTGGACATTTGCGGCACTTTTAATGCGCGTCCGTATCAGTCCTCACAACCCAAAGGTTGTGAGGACTGAAGGGTTGTGAAGATATAACATGCAGTAAATATTTTCAGTCAGATGATGATCATTAGGTTTAAAACGGGAATGTTGTTGCGCTGAAGGTTTTGTTTATAAAAACAAAGAAGGTTAAGTTATACACATGTATTAACATGTCGTTGGAAGGAATTAGCCAGCCCACTGAAGACTATCTATATCCGATTCCAACTGAGTCGAATTTTCCAACAATTGTTTTTATGACATGTATGCATGATTTGCTGTATAATGAGATGTTATGTTTTTTTCCAGGAGGGAAATGGTTAAACTTTAATGTTATACCTTGATTACCTTCTGCCTTTTAAATATAAACGTTATCGGTGACTAAAATCATTATTACAAATGTCTCAAGCGCAATTTCCCACAATTCTATTGCCTCTGATGTACATAAATAATATTATGTCCGACTATTTGATTGTCCAAATGTTGTAATATGATCTCGTCTTTGTTACAAGTGTGTTGACCGTCAAAAAGATGGATTCTACCAGACTTCTCGTTCAATGAATGTCATTCTATCTATCTGGTATTTGACGTGATCAAACTGAATTAGTGAAATATAAAATATCTAAATTGTTTGACTTTTTAAAAGCATACATGTTTCTTATATGATTGTTTCAATTAAAAATTATTGCTTGCTTTTGTTTCAGCTCATATTTATAAACAAATGCATAGCGTCAGTGATTTGCCAAACCTGCACTAGAATATATTGTTTTTACATATTTTCATGTGAAGTATTTTTCCTAGAATGTACCAATAAATATGAAAGCTAACTATGTATAGGAAATGCATCTACCAAACACCTAAAACATCACCTAACATTGCAGTATGAACTAACTTGTACTATAGTTTATAATGATTGACACATGAATTGACACAATGGATTGACAAGAAAATAATCATCCCATGCATCATTCTTAACTCATTGTACTTCTCACTAATGACATGTATTCATAACTGACATTGGTAAAGGAATTGGTGATTGTAACAATTCATTCATTGCACTCGTTCAACGAGACTATGACTCATAGCTAGATGTGGGTAGGGCTGATTGTTATCAAAGAAACAAAATAATCTTTTCGAGGGGATATTCTTTCTTAGTTTCTTTCTTTATTCTCCTAAAATTTGTGAATAGTTAGCGAATAGAGTTTGATAGTTTTGAAAAAAAGAGAATATTTTAGCCCTGCGTGCAAAGTACGTCATGTACTCCAAATAGCTAAGATTTTCTCTAACGCATTTTGCAATGCAAATATGTTTTAAGTAATGTATTTTGACCGACTCTGGATCCACAAATTCTATTGATGTCTTTAAGCAAAGATCATTTTTCTAGGTGCTACATTTCTCCACCATCTCTAAATCCGTTCTTCTAACTGTAAGGAAAAGCAAAACTTTGTGAACAATACGTGATAAGTATTTTAAACGTCTCCTTAATGCCATAAAAAGCTGATCAATGATGGCGAAGAATATTTCAATGTAAGTCGAGCACTAAATCTTTTTCACCACTTTAGTCAAATTGACGTTTTGTCGTTTGCTGGATAAAGCTTGTAGCTAATGAATACCCTTGTAGACTTCTGTATGAACACGCATTATCAGAAAGAATTATCAATAACATTCATGATTTCCTGTTTTGTGTTTTCTTCATCTTGAATTGTAGCTGTGTAAGTAACGGTGCAAACCAAACCAAGAACAAAAGAAAAATAAGTTATCTTCGTCGTGAATTATTTAACCTGTCTTCTTCCTCTCAAATGTTGGCTGTTGAATGATGATCGAAGACAGTTTGGGCATCTTTGTAGCTATAGAAGAGCAATAGAGAAAATGCGTGATCCGATATCATGGCTATACAAAATAACCCGTCGAAAGCTGTAGACAGACAGCCGAAAGCTTGTTTAAAGTGCCTATGTCAGAAAATGAGACTTTACATTTTGAAAACTATGGTCAAAATGAGTTATTAAGTTCTAAAACAAAATTTAAATTGGAGTTATAGTTTTTGCCTTCACTTAAGCATTGACTTCCTTTAAGCAAAAATCCAGAAAACCACGCAATTGAGACTGATGCGAATCACGAAATTTACGTCACAATAGGAACTCGTCCTACTTTCATCTATGGAAATTCTATTACGTGAGGTGTTTTATCAAAGCTAACGCCCCGCCAAAAGTCATCAAAATTGAAAAACTCCAAACGGTAGTGTTGTGAAAGGCTGTTCGAATGTCATCAACACAGAGAAAGAAATTTCACTACATTTTATATCGTTTTACACCCGAAGATAAATCAAGACGTAAACAGTGGATTGCTCTCCAGAGCTAATGCGCATAATGGATCTGTGAGAAAAACTGACCATTTGTTCCGAATATTATGCAAGAGAGGGTTTCACACTTATTTTTTGAATGTCTTGATTAGCAACTAACATAATTGGTCTTGCAAAATTGGCAAATTTTATGTTACTTTTATAGCAATAAATAATGAATTTGAGAGTCGTATACTTTTGTGTAACCCGCTATGAAATTCGTAATGTCGCATTGCATAAGCACAAGCTGCTATAGTGTATCATCATTTTCAAAGCCATCATCAGAGAATATATATAATATATTAATCCTAACACGGTTTTTAATATGCCCATGGAAAGCATGTGACTTGGACGAGATTTGAACTCGCACCTTCGGGATACTAGTCCGCCGCTTTCCCTGTAGGCTTGGAGACGAGTCAAATCTCTTTTAAAGTGCGTATGGACGAGAGTAAATATTTGTGTGGTATCTGCGCAAAATAGCGAACGGAAAATAGGACTAAAGTATATTTGCCCATCTCGTGTACGCAATTTAGCTGCTTCTAAGCCAGTGATCGATATATCTAGACCAGGGGCGGATCTAGGATTTTGGATACCATAGGCAAAACATTATGACGTCTTCAGTGCTAAACCTATGACGTCATACTTTGCAAAACATACTACACTATTTATGCTTTCGATAAATTGTTTAAATCAAACAGTCTAATCATTGAGCTATGCAGAATCTTGTAGATCTCAATCGTATAAATACATAAAAACATTGTATATTTATACTTACATATCACAAGGTCATTGATTTTCACTATTCAGAATATTGAATGCACACAAGACTGTTTAGCCCCATATCAGGGCTCATCAGCATGCCTAGGAACACTTTAACGCAAAACAAAAAATCGTGATCCGGCATGGACAGCCCTGTGAGAGCCGAATTAAGCAGACTGGTTATGGCGCCAGAAGTTCGCCTACACACCTTTGAAAAGGAGTTTGGTTAGAAATGGGTGACTATATGGGATATTTCATGGATGTGATATTGCTCAATTTTTCACACCATCCCAGTCAATTCCAACCCTTTACCCCCCACCTAAAATGTGCACTCTGGTTTTGAAGGCGCCAGAAACTCGCCTTTCACACCTTTAGCAAATAGCAAAAGGAGTTTGGTTAGAAATGGGTGACTATGTGGGACATTTCATGGATGTAAGATTGCTCAGTTTCTTACACCATCCCAGTCAATTCCAACCCTTTACCCCCCACCTAAAATGTGCACTCTCATTTGCCAACAAATGAGCAGAATGTAAATGTAATGTAATAGTCAAAATAGAGCTTTGTATAAAGAGTCTTTGTGAAGACTAAAATTTGGTGTAAGGAAAAATTATTCTATTTATGCTTAACAATTTTTGTGAAAGTAAATTTATGTCGACAACGGCCGAGTACCATACACGTACTCAGCAGTTTTAAGATTGGAATGTATATAGGGAAAAACCTTTATCGGGCGAGCTATTAGTTTGATGCAAATTCTATTGACGTTACTATTGTGTACAACGCACAATAAATGGTTAACATATGGACATTTCAACAAAATAAAAAACTAGGATATGAATAAATTCATGCAAATTTTAGCCTTGTATTTCCAACAGCAAAAGTATTAATAACCTCACCAATATCTGGTACAATTTCCTGATGAATTTGCATCAAGGCCAAACCATTTAAGCGTTCCCCAACCATGGTACTTCGCTGATAGTTTTTAAGTGTCCTAAGGGAAGAAATAGATCGTTCACATTCACAAGAGGTAATGGGGAGCGTTCCTAAAATACGTAGTAAAATTTTAATGTTTTCAAATCCGGCGAAATGAACAGATTTTAAAGTCTGGGCAATGTTATCAGGAAGGAGGCCGCAGTGGGTCTCCCAATAAGTGTACCACAACCTAAGTTCAGCATCTAAGGCCAAAGGATTTGGCAAATCATCATAATAAAAGTTAGCCACAGTTTTGAATGGCTCTTTCCAATCCACCCCATCTCTTGTCATGGACATCATTTTCGTCGGTACAATGCTAAGGCCTTTATAGACATTCACACTCTCAAGGTCGAATCGTGATTCTAAAGAAGATTGCAAATGATCTAGTAGAGGAAGAGTAATTGCACGTTTATAATACTCAGAAATGGTTGTGTGGGGAATATTTTCCCTGGTCGTTTGTTTGCGCACTGTTCTTGGTTTCCATTCTTCAATGCCAACTTTGCTGCCAGTTCAAGCGCTTCGTCATACCAGGTGTCATGATAAAAATCAGAGGAATTCCTCATGTTCACCACCTCAGTTTTCAAAGTTGAAATTAAATGAATACCATCCATTATATCGATACTCTTACCCTGTAATAACTGTGTTACTGGAAGAGTTGAATCAAGAATATTTCTCGTGATAACTAAAGCAACGACGAAATCAAACCTGTCAATAAGTTGAAACAAAGATGAGGCATCAGACTGAAGCGACGGTTTGAACTCACCATCTAGATTTTCAGACATATCGTTAAGGGTGGTGTATACAGGTACAAAAGCTCTTGGAATGTATCTAAACCTTCGATACGTTCTACCCATCTAGTTTTGCAAACGTCTGTTAATCTAGTCTTTTCGAGTTTGTTTCTGAATTACGTATATGTTTTCAAAGGGAATATTGCGAGTTTGGGAAATTTTAATAAAATTAGTGGCATTGTTAACATGTTTCAACATATCATTGACAACACGTATACTCAAAGAATCGCAAATGGATAAGTTTAACCTATGACTATAGCAGTGTGTATAAAGAGCCTTTGGGTTAAGCTTTAAAATTTGAGCTGCTAGACCATTAGTGCAACCAGCAACTGAACCAACCCCATCATAACCTTGCCCCCTACAATCATCTATTGATAAAGTCAGTTCCTTTAGAGCCTCTAAAAGTAGCTTGGCAAGTTGAGCACCAATTAGTCCGCAAAACAAGAGACATTTGTTCTTTATGTGAAAAATCAGATGCTTCATCAGCAATAACAGAAAAAAACTTACTTTTTTTGATATCAGAAATAATCTGATTACTGATTACCTGGCCACAACATTTAATGATTTTATTTTGACTTGTTTTAGAAATATAACTTCTATTCTTACCACAATTCTTTAAATGATTTTCTAAAACTTTATCCCCTCTCCTAACTCCATAATTGATTGTTTCAATGAAATTACCAACCCTCCAGATGAATAACAACCAACAGTAGGGTGATACTTGGAATCATCACGATGCCCACGAAGAGGTAAACCTAGACGTCCACAAAAATGACAGAATCAATAATTGGAGATAGTATTTCCTATTCTGTTCTATTTCTTTCTTGATACCAGCATCCATGATCATCTCGATAGGCTGCAGAGTACCTGATATTTGGGAACGCAAAGCATCAAAATTGGTGATGTGGATGCATGCAAACCGACTTCCCTCCCTTTACTTTTTCCAGCATGTTGAGTGAAAGAGCATTTAGCATTCTTCCAATCTTGAAGAGGTTCAGTAAACAACTTTTTTACTTTACTGGCCTTGCCTGGGAATCTATTGCCAAACAACACACACGATAGACAATACGCACCATTTTGTGAAGGTGAATAGCAAAGCCATTCATGCTGGTCTAGCCAATCATGCCTAAATGATCTGCCATTAGATTTAGGAAAATGATACTTTTTATCTGGTTTATATACATTTTTTATCAAATGACATATTTCAGAATTATCCATACCCTTAACTTTCTCCCTATACAAGGAAACATCAAAATTATGGGTTAAAACAGCAGGTTGCATATCACCAGAAGTTGGAATACCAGGCAATAGTTCCTGGGATGATGTGTGAAGCAAAAGACTATTGGCTTTATTTAATGTCTGAGCAAGAGCTGCAGCAGAAGAAAACTCTCATTGGGCATCCTTTTAAAAGTTGGTTGGGCAGCAGGCCTATTAGTTGAAGTAAAAAAATTTGAAATGTCAACTGTTTTTGGTGCAATATTTGGAAAAATTTTGACAAATTTTCGTTTCTCTGTTGTTGAGCTGCTAGAATTAGACTGTGTACAGGAATTAGACAATTTTCGCTTCAACCTGTGGGCATGGAAAATGAGAGGCACAAAATGATTAGACTGAAAAGTCTCACCTGGTTGTACAGATCCTTCATGACAAAACAAAATATTAATAGCATCCAAACCTCTTTGGCTTAATAACCGGGGCTGAACAATACGATTAAATAACAATTTATATCTACTTTCACCAGAATCAGGATAAAAGTATGAATTTTTCTACCTAAAACAGAAGATAGGCCCAAAATACAAAGAAAAGATGACCATTTCTGGTCATTACAATTTAAAATAGCCTCCTGTTTTACCAGTTCATCTGTTGTATATCCAGTGTCTAAACATTCTTTAGACACTGACAAAGGCAAAAGATTGTTTAAGCTTTGGGCAAAGTAATCACTGTGCTCACTTATAACAGACAAAAGCATGGGTGTTGAGCATAAAAGCAGCATGAATAAATAGCTCAAGCGATGTTAAAATTCGCAAAGTAGGGACCAATGCATTGTTACCTACCAGAACTAGGAAGCTGAACTGTAGAGGCAATTGCCAGAAGCTTCAGATCTTAAAAATATTCAAGAAAAGAAATTAATATTTTGTTTGGTAGATTGATTGCATTGTATGAATGAATTGCTGACTGTAGACAAAGATATAGCCTAGCGAAATTGAGATTTAACCATTTTACACGTATATATAAATACTACAATACGATATATATAATTATAATATATTTACCTTATTGCAGTACAAGTCTTTCCGTCATGAGCGTGCTTTGGCACATATATTTCAGCTCCAAAATTTCGACACAGAGTATGGTCGGGGTCATAAATTCTATCTAACAGCTGCTCGTTAGTAAACATAGGTCGAACGTCGACCAATAAACGAGAATAAAGCTCATTAAGGCATTTTAAATCGTTTTTGGCCAACGCAGACTGAGCAGTCTCGTATAAATTACCACAACACAATGAAGACATTATAAAATATCACAAAACCGTAAACTGAGCACAGAGGCTGTTCAGAAACAATACGAGTGTATGTTAATTTTCAATTGCCTAATTTGCCTAGCTCAACTATGCTTATCAACAGCAATGATTGGTTGGAATTGCTCAAGTTAGGCAAAAAAAAATTGACCAATGAAAGCATACGGTTGCAAAAAAATTGCCCAATCAGAATACCTATACACGATGTCAAGTTAGGCAAATTCATCTTGTTTAGGCAAATTGCTAACAACCAATCAAATGGCTAGATCGCCTTCTTGACTTAGGCAAAATGGCTGCTTTGCCTAACGACACGGAGCTTTATAGATAATCATACGCATCTGGACTACGATTCATATCAAAATTACGTCATTTAATTGCACAACATTTCTAAACAAAAGTCAGATGATTTGACTGCGATAAAGAGCTATTCATAGTTTCATAATTCGATAAATTCGTATCGAATCTAAGTCGAAGTATATTTTGGTAATTTCACCATAGGCACTTGCCTATGGTGCCTACCCTAGATCCGCCCCTGATCTAGACGTATAAACTTATGAAGGCTGGATGCTTAGTTATGCACGCAGGTTTATCATTTATGTCTGTCAATATAATTTCACTGTTCAAATAAAAGACACACTACTTTATTTCCATACAATATTGAATTAATTTTGGGTTGAGTAAATTAATCGCTTAGGGAAAAAATACTGCTTATATGCAATAATTTGCGAGTCATTTACCATCAGCAATTGGTTTGTTTACAAGTAACACTACGTGGCGACATCTACATAGGGATGAATTCGCCACATACTTTCTTCGCTTATTTCATACGGCCCAGTAATATAATTCCACTGCATGTCGTCTCTTTCTTAACAGAAGATTTCTGTATTTAAACTTGACAAGAATTGAGAACATCTTCAGATGATTTTCCCTGGTAAATCTAGTCGCGCAATATATGTGTTTGTACGAGTGAGTTATTACCACCGGTTCCTAGTGTGACGTTTTAGTTACCAGCTCCCACTTTCACGGACTTCAAAATTTTTTGCCGTTAAAGGTAATCGGCAATATAGATTTTTTTGACTATAAATAAACTTTTCCATATAAATTATGAAAAATCAAAGTAACTCGTACTCTTCGACTATTTGGCTCATAGAAAATTAGAATTTTATTCATGTTTATTTTACTCTTTGTCAGCCACTTTGTTTTTACTTTGAGAAAATTATGAGGTCTGTTTGTGACGTCACAACCAGGTGTTTATGTCAGTTCAAAACATGGTGAATTTGAATGAGGAATCAATCCAACAATTTGAGGATGAAAATACTGTACTGAAAAATGAAGAAATGCAACCTTACATGTTTGAACCCAATAAAGAAGATTTGTGTGAGTCTTCGTCTATATCAACGGACGGTTCGAGTATCAGTGACGATGATTTAATTGACCCACAGTTTGAAGCTTTACATCGTTGGAAGCTGGCGACTTTAAAGTGGTGTAAATGTGGAAAGTGTGCTATCATGGAAAGAAGTATAGAAAACTTTTGCTGCCATAAAAAGGCATTGGAATTTGATGAATATAATGCGTTACTAAGAAATGCACAAATGGAAGGATCAATTGTGGGACAAGCTTAAATTCATTTGTACTAAACATGCTATCGAAAGATTTACTTGCAATTGATGTGGCATAGTACTTGAAAGATAATTGGCCTATTAGCGACAATAAATTGGAAAAAAAATTTATTGTCTGGCTTCGTATAGAAGGTGTTTTATATCATCTCCTTCATATAGAAGGCGATGGGTATTTGATATTTAGGTAAAAAAAAACTCGTAGACTGTTTCCGTACTGTATTTACAGAGCATCAGGGCTGAATTTTTTTCACTGACTGGACTTTGCACCCATTTCAAATTTTCCAAATAAGTTATCTGCCTTACCATAAATATTAATGTTTGTTATTGAAATAAATCAAAATGACGAACACAACTAGTGCACAAGGGTATACCATTCACACATTTACAGTTTATTTTATTTATACGTTTTTATTTATAATTATTAAAGTTACCATACAAATTTGCAGCATTTTCTACTTGTTTGTACAGGTTTCCTTTTTACATTTGCAATTAAGTGTGCAGATTTTATTTTCAAATTTACACAAACATCTTATAGTTGCGTATTTTCCTCAGCATTCACATGCTCTCTCTTTTTCTGGAATGATCACGGACGGTTTTGTAAATTGAGTATACTTCTTTGCAATGACTGAATCTTTGGCTTGTGCTTCACAGTTTTAAAGGTACTTTTTCACAAGTGATTCTGGCTCTTTCTGTAAAATTTCTTTTGCATGTTTTTTTGCTTGTGCAATGGTTGGAAACATTCTCCTCAGTTCCAAAACTTCTTGTTGTATAGTTTGTGCATAATCTAAATAAAATATAAAACAAAAGGGAAACAGTTATACAATGCAAGTATAAAAAGGTTGTTTCGCTTATTTTGTAAATCAAGTTTGAAAATGTTACTATAGGTTGGTTCTTCTTTTATTTTTCTGGCAATTGCTTTTTCACCATTATTGCCATTATCTGGCAATTGCTTTTTCACCATTATTGGAATAGATTACCACCCATCTGTCATCTCCTTTTTTTGTCTTAGCCTGCTGTATTTGAGAGTTTTTATTGAAGTGTAAATTGGCACAAAGCAATCTATATTTAAAGTGGATTGTTTCTTTTGCTTGTGTTGCAAAGCGTGATTGACATATACTTGTCAAGCCATATTTAATAAATTGCCATAAAAGATGATTGTATTAAATAATCAAATGTAATGAAGGAAATATTTACCTGGCCATAATTAAGTGATATGGGCAGTAGATTTTTTTAGAAGCAAACTGATTGTCCAAGGCATGTTTTGATTCCAATGAGGAAGTTTGGTAGAAATCCGATAACTTTCGTATTGCAGATATTGGTCTTGGTCGTTTCAAAATTTCTGTCAACTTCTTGTAAGCTGCTGTGCCTATAAATAAAATATTCGTTTTTATCATGCCAATAGATTTTTGTTTGTATGAATTAATAGTAAATATTGTGTTGTATACCTGATTTTAACCATGCTCTTTACAATGGTCCATGGATGCATTTTCGAAATGTTTTGTTTTCTGTATGTACATGAGTGTTCGCAATATGATTCAACAAACTTAGCCATCTCTCTTCCCTCTCATTCTCATCAGATGTTGATGATGCGACCCAATATATATGGTTTATGATGGACTAAAACCCCATTTAAGTTAAACTCAACTTTGCACCCATGATTGATGTCTTCCTGACAAGAATATTTTTATTGGAAGATCTACGGCAATCCAAGGTTTTATATCTTTAAATTTCTTCAATTTTGCAACTTTTACTAGTTTTTTCTTCTCTCGTAAAAGTAGTTAATGAACTCTTTTTCACGCTTTGATCGTTGGATAAATCATTGCCGTGTTATAGAATGGGATTTTTTCATATATGTATTGCCAATTTTTGTTATTATCAATAACTATTTTTTATGCTTATGCAAAATTGTACGCTAACAGTTCTTGCCTTTAGCTAAATGCCAAACCTCGTAATAGTGTTTGATTGTTGGTTTTTCTTTAGCCATGTAGCTTGACACTTGGGAATGTGTGTCAGTCGCTAGTTTTTCGACATTAACGTTTTCTTGATCGAGATATAACAGTTGTCGTTTGAGTGATTCCAACTCCATAGCATTAGAATTTGGAACCTCTGTGCTCTGTTTTACAAAAAATAAAGTGAATATGCAAACGACTTCTAATCAATTACCTGCATCTGTTTTCATTTCAGTCATTATATAATTATTGCATTAGAACGAGCATCCACGCAACTAACAAACTCATCTAGTACACACCTTGATGATCTGCGTGTCGTTAATGATATTTCTTTCTAAATCAAGAGTACTAACGCTCCAAATAAACCATTGTAGCCTGGGCTGTCTACCCTCTTATTTGACGCTATATTAATAGAGTTTCATTGGACTTCAGAAAGCTTTTGCTTTTGCTCTTTTTTCCAAAGGTTGTTCACAGCTGGGATGACATAGGCTGTTTGGATGTTTGCAAATTCTCTTTTTTTAAAGTAATATGTTCAGCGACTTAAAGAAGCGCAATGTTTTATTACACTCCAATCCAGTGGTAAGGATGTTTGTTGCCACAACCCAGTGGGCAATTGACGTCGGATCGACGTCGAAATCGACGTAATTTCGACGTTCTCACCACGTCGAAATGCTGACGCTTAATCGACGCCGTTGTTTCAACTCTATTTTGACGTTCTTTCGACGTCGAAATGCTGACGCCCAATGGACGTCGTTGTTTCAACTCTATTTTGACGTTCTTTCGACGTCGAAATGCTGACGCCCAATGGACGTCGTTGTTTCAACTCTATTTTGACGTTCTTTCGACGTCGAAATGCTGACGGTCAATGGATGTCGTTGTTTCAACTCTATTTTGACGTTCTTTCGACGTCGAAATGCTGACGCTAAATCGACGTCGTTGTTTCAACTCTATTTTGACGTTCTTTCGACGTCGAAATGCGGACGCTCAGTGGACGTCGTTGTTTCAACTCTATTTTGACGTTCTTTCGACGTCGAAATGCTGACACTCAATGGACATCGTTGTTTCAACTCTATTTTGACGTTCTTTCGACGTCGAAATGCGGACGCTCAATGGACGTCGTTGTTTCAACTCTATTTTGACGTTCTTTCGACGTCGAAATGCGGACGCTCAATGGACGTCGTTGTTTCAACTGTATTTTGACGTTCTTTAGACGTCGAAATGCTGACGCTCAATCGACGTCGTTGTTTCGACTCTCTTTCGACGTCGAAATGCTGACGCTCAATGGACGTCGTTGTTTCAACTCTATTTCGATGTCGAAACAACATCATTTTTCGACGTGAAATGAAGTTTGCAATTTTCGTTGAAAACGAGTCGAAATCACGACGATGCATGTTTTACCATGTTATTAACTAAAAAAGAAACTTGTACATTGCGTTGGGTAACATTTTAATTTTTTCATTATAAAATTTGTTATATGGCATGTTTCTTGTGGCAACAAACGCATAACATCGATCAGAAATTCTTCCGTAATTACACTATCAACCAATTACCATCGGAATAATTACCATTGGATAAGCATTATCTTTATAGTTAATACTATTTATCCATCTTTATTAAGAAAGCCATATGCACGTGCAGCGAAAGCCTTGGCACGATAGCCTACTAATCTTTCTTACCCGAACATTTGCCCGCTGATTGAGCCAAATAGCACAACACGTGTTTTAAAATTCGAACGATCGAGGAGACAAATTTTCGTATTTTTGTACTTGGATGTTTGTCAGGGTTGGATTAAATAAGATTTTTCCATAATCAACATCTTCTTTATTCTTTAATTCATGCAAAGAAGATTAAAGAAGATTAAAGAAGATTAAAGATGACTTTGTAAAGTTTTGCTGAAAGTTATTTATATAACACTTTTTATTACAATTTTACGACATAAAGTTAGACTAATTTAAATTTTAAATTACAATCTAATCTAGTGAATCCAATGACAGTGAACTACATTGCAAACTTTCCATAACCTTTTTTGATTTTTTCACATTTCATCTATTAATATTTTTTAAAGGTATAAATAAAACAGCATAATTAAGTAAAATTACCTTTACATATAAACTTGACCACTTGAATGATTACTCAAGCCACAATGGTCGCACAACATGAAGTGCAATTAATTAATGAATGAATATATCAACCTTGTGTTATCAACATTAATGAACAATAAAGATTTTGAGACAAATTTGACATCTTCTTTAATTATTTAAAGAAGATTAAAGAAGATTTAATTAAAGAAGAATGGCCAACCCCGATGTTTATTGATGTTTTCAATCTCCTGATCTTTTGGATTTACTGTGGATTCTCAAAAAGGTTTGAAAAGACTATGGCATCTTTGTTTTATTTACGTAGAGCATAAATTGTTAGTGTGATTAGTGATACCTATTAATTGGAGTCAACAACTCAACATCGACATTATGATGGTTAAGTGTTTTCCTAACATATTCACGTTATCACCGTTATATTTAATTAATTTATAGGCTATTTAAGAGTTTACTCACATATATATGTGCTGATAAACCATTATACTTTAACGCAGACTTCTGTTTTATTATATTGTTTTAGTATGAAAGTAATACAGTATCACTGAAATTCACTATTACCTCTTATAATGCAATTATCAAGGCTGAAAGGCTTACTTTTAAAATCTTGAAATGGCTTATTCAAAGCAGCCAAATAATATAAAGAAAATTAATTTGCTTTCTTTACAGTGTCTGTCAATACCTTTGTAGCTCCAACTGCAAGAATAGTCAGGAATTGCGGGAATATAGAAATGGATTTAATTCCATGATATGTGGGTAAGGTTGTCTTCCTTTGATGCAAGAAATAGCATGTGTTAAAACACCAATGAATCTAAGGTAGTGCGTGTAGAGGGACTATGTCAACAGAGGTGTGCTCTGTTCTTTAAAGTAAATTTTGATGGTGATTTTTGCAGTGTTGTTGCACCTTATTTTAATAAATTCTTTTACTTATATGCCATGATTGACTGATGCATTTGGAAATCTACTGAATATGAAAAATCACTTGCTTTTGCTTTGAACATTGTTTGTCATAGGTAACATATAAATATTTTGCAGTGCAACTACTTGGTTCCTCTCCTTCACCCAATAAAACCAGGCGAAATGTAAACTCCTTTAAGCCACTGCTTTAAATCTCACCACAAGATGTTAGTTCAAATAAGTAATTTTTAAAGTCTATGCAATATTTATTTCATGCTTGTGTGCTCACTTAAGGCAAATTTATGTATATGTGTTTTTGATAATTTCTGACTCATGTAGAACAAGTATTGCAATGGACATGAATGACTAAAGTGACAAAATTGCTTAAGGAAGGACAACTAAGCTTCATCTTATCTTACAGGTTTGTGACAAATTTAATTTTCATTGCTTTTATGTAACTGCTAATGTATTCATGTAATACCTATGATTACAGTTGACAAGGGATAAAGCATAATAAAGTAAATGGTTTGAACCCGGGAGTATCATTACATGTTTGTAAATGATGATCGTCCAGGTTAATAAAGTCCTGAGAAGGACTGTTTTTGTTGTTGACTGATGTTTCGACAACCTTAGCGGTAGTCATCTTCAGAGTCAAATGAGGATAAAGCATAAAATAATTACGTATATGTCAATATTGATCCCTCCTCCCTAATTGTTTATATTCATGTTTACTCTCAAAAAACCTCAATTGAATCATTTTTCATTTTGTGTAATTTGTAGTTTTCAAGAACTTAAAAAATATTTATCATAAACGGAAAGCGTTGTTTGGCCATAGACCAACATGATGTTTAAGTAAGGTTCTATTTCTTTAATGCATGAAGAAGTATTCACTAAAACAGCAATGGATGTATGATGATTATGTAGAATGGCTTTGTTCGAAGGGGTGTGCTGTATAGTATGTGTTAAAACACCAATGAATGTAAGATAGTGCGTATAGAGGGACTATGTCAACAGAGTATATATGTTTTTGATCATTTATGACTCATGTAGAACAAGTATTGCCTGCAATGAACATGAATGGCTAACATGACAAAATTGCTTAAGGAAGGACAACTTAGCTTCATCTTATTTTACAGGTTTGTGACAAATTTAATTTTCACATGCGCATAAAATAATAATTACATATAATATTGATCCCTCCTCCCAAATTGTTTATATTCATGTTTACTCTCAAAAAACCTCAATTGAATCATTCTTCGTTTTGTGTAATTTGTAGTTTTCAAGAACTTAAAAAATATTTATCATAAATGGAAAGCGTTGTTTGGCCATAGACCAACATGATGTTTAGGTCAGGTTGTATTTCTTTAATGCATGAAGAAGTATACACTAAAACAGCAACGGATGTATGATGGTTATGTAGAATGGCTTTGTGGGAAGGGGTTTGCTGTATTTTGAAATAAATTTTATTGGTGATTTTGGGTGTGTTGCCCCAAATGGTTATTTTGCTTCTGAGGCAATTACTTGGTAAATTAGCTAGTTATAACATGAGAATTTATTGTTAAATTTACGTTGTTCTGATTTTAAAGATGCTATGCAATACTATATGCAAACTTGGCTGACCATCAATCAAGTTATTTTAGTCTCATAAACCTCACTTGTTTTGCAAAACTTTCACCAATCCTTCATACTTGGCCATGGGGTGTAGATTCATCAAGCATCTTTTATGAACTGGGATAGAATAGAACAAAATCCTTAAAAAGTGCATTATGTTAATTCAAATTGAGCGAGATAGTAATTTCAGTTTATCTTTGGACAATTTTATTGTTGTTTTTACAGAAACAGCTTTCAAAAGACACCGTGAGAGAACTGGCTAATATATCTGGCATGCCCTCGACTTCTCAAATATAAAGTAAACCAGATAGAAGACGGAGATTGAAAGTCAAGCTCGTAAAATAAACATTCTAAAACATGAATTCAACCCATCGGTATTAAGGATATTTCATTAAATTCTTTTACCGTTCGATCATCGCCATGCATGCGCATACTATGTTAATAATGCATGGCCAAGCCGATGAGATTTTAATTAACAAACGTGAGAAATATTCTGCGTGTTTGACAATTGTTAGGAAATAATTAAACTATAGATTTCCCTGAGGGAGAACGAAGTTTTAATAAAAATGTTATTGCCCAACATAAAACTTTCCGTTTTATGAAGAAAAAAAAGAAGAAAAAAACGAAGAAAATAATGTTGAATAGAAAAATCCCACTTTGTCTAATAGTCTTTGTAAACCTCAAGAACAAAAAAAAACAAACATTCATGATTCAAGCTTGTTTTACTGTGGCAAAACAGGCTCTCTAGAATATATTTTAGCTTTGAATGGTTTTGTAGCATTGTTACTCATAGATCATCATTTTCAACAGCATCAAGTAGCTAATTGCCTAAATAAAAATATTTTTTCAATATACAACAGCAGTTTGTAAAGCAATTGAGCTTTTTTATAAACACATCTTATTTGACACTGAAACAATTCCAAAATTCGACTGGCAAACCAGTTGCTTTTCTTTTCCAGCACAGTTATTCGGAAAATTCAAAATTGATGAAGTCAAGGTTTGCAAATATCACGCGTACATGATCTATATGACTAAAGAAATGCTATTGGCTAGCTTTAGTCAAGTGCAAAATGTGATTGGCTCTCAGAATAAACAAGCAATGGTTGATCAATTTTGTTAAAATTTTGCTGTAGACGACGAAGTATAAATCAACGTTTGCAAACCTTTTTTATCTTTTCTTTTTGCTAAAATACGTCGACTGCCTCCCCTCTTGTTAAATGCAAAACACGTTTTCTTTTAATGTTATTGCTCTTTGGGGATTAACTATTCCTGAATCGAGCAAATTCTAATTGTCGAATAATTTCAAATACAAGCAGTTTTTTGCGACAGCCTCTACATAACCAACTATTCTAAGGTGTGGCTATAACTTATGATTGACTTCTTTGCTTGCAGAATGGTTGCCAAACCAGATACAAGATTATTGAGCGAGTTATAGTGGATGCTGAAACACTTTGTAAAATGAAACAAACTAAGAAGACAGTACCATTTTAATTCCTTATATGAGAGGAGACAACAATACCGTTTCGAACTTATTACTATTTCGTCACCACAGAGTTGATCTCAAAGAAAAGGAAATGTTATAAAGAAGAACTGTTGACCAAATTGTTAACTTCAACCGCTAAGAATTTTTGGCGATGTGGGCGTATGATTCTAAGGCTCATGATGGTAAGTCAAATAATAATTCATATTTTAAAACAGTGATCGTATGTATCCTGTGATTGGCTTCAAACCTTCCTTTGGTTGAAGATAATGTCTGTTGCATGTAGTTTAGAATACGTCGTTACGCTGCATACAAACGCTCTGAACACGTACACTCAAAATGCGCTCAACATTGTTTTGCGTTTGTTGAATGATATTTAAACGATGCGCGCAATCGCTGAAAGCATGCTCATCCTTAAATGATAACGTGTAGGATCATGGGATACAATGTTGAAGCCTAGCAACTGCATGTATATATATATATACACCTACATATACGGTTCAGTGACCAGGTAAATTACTACAATATACGCTGTAAACAGCGCAAATTTATCTCGACATTGTTGAGTGTTCTGTTCAAACGCTCTAAACAGTGTTAAGATACGGTTTGGTGACCACACAGTGAGAACTCAATAGTTGAACGACTATTTTTAATGGTTGCCACTATTGCAATTTGGTCATAACAACCATATGAAAAATTGGTCATTTAGAAATTGCCAATTACGATGGTCAATACAACCATATGCAAAACTGGTCACTTAGAAATGACAAATAAAGATGGTTCAAACAAACATTTTTAACGGTTGTAACAAACATGCAATTTCGTCATAACCATCGTGTTGAAAATTGGTCAATTAGTAATGACTAAATAAGATTTTAATTGAGCAATAAACAATAGGTCACCTTTCTTTATTTGTTTATATTTGTTTTATAGTAAATGTGTTATAGTTTTGACCACGGGACATACAATCAAAAGAAATGATCAAAATAGATAATAAAAAATATAAAAATAAAAAAATAGAAGAAATCAAGTTGAATGCCACGGGATCATTTAAATGCCATTTAGAATGAAAATTTCAATTAGTTGCTCTTATTCTTTACAATAAGACTTTAGCAATTAAAGCAAGTTATTTCCAGAACAGAAACAAATTGATTCCAAGTTAGTGAAATGACACTTCTGTCACTTCAGTAGCTACGCAATACGCATTGCAGGCAAAAACGGGCGACTAACCTGGATATAATTTTTTATTTGCATTATGCTAAAAGTAGAGTTGGCTTAATAATACGATTTGTGAGACTTCTTTGAATTATCTACATTAACGGCGTTGATTCAAAGGGAATACTATTGGATTATGTATTTCAATGGTTGGTAATGACAGTTGGAATGACAGTTATAGAGTAGTTACTCCAGATCATTTTTCATACCTGCTCTTACATATTCTCAATAATATTCATGATTGAGACTTACTCCATAATCGCCCGAGCATTGATCAAACAAAGAAAAGCACTGAAAACATTCTGCAATCCAACATAACTTCATCTTAAAGTCCTCCATCACACATACTCAAAATAGTAAGACATTTTTCATCTGCGTAAACACAGTTTTCTACTTAAAAACGGGTCATATTTATTGTTTGCTGTAAAGATGCGCTAAAAATTGAGATAATGCTCTTTCTCTAATGATTCAGTCATATATTTTTCGTTTAATGAATGCCTCTACAAATATGTACACTGCATTTGCTGTCCGTGTTTTTAGGTCACATTTGTTGAATCCTCTGATCCATAAAATGTTGGATAGAAAAATATCGCACGGTATTACTACTGAAATAGCTGCTCAAAAATTGATAAAATTCAAGTAATTATCATTCCACTTTGTTTTCGAGTTTTTGCCCGAAATTTTATGCATTTAAATAGCTAAAACTGTATTACAATTTTCGAACAAAGTTAAGCAGGAACAGGTTGAAAACCATTAACACTCAGAGATAAACACATGCAAGCCGAGATCTGTGTAAATATTTTTTATATAAAAAAAACGTTGTGATGGTAGTCATTGTTACAGGCATCTAATGTAAGATGTTTTAATTTTTAATCATGGTGTACAAGGTTAAAATATTATCGTGTGATACCCAACAAACAACTGATATTCTTTTGGAGGTTCAAAAAGGCAAAAATATGAACAAATTCATTGTTGCGAACTTATACTGCCTTTATAATTTACTTTGACAAATTAAAAACATGCTCATTCAGAAGATAACTGTCCATATAACTGATTAAATTTCTATAAGATCATATCGTTACAATGCCAATAAAAATATTTTCAAGTTCGATAATATTGTTCTCCACAAACGCTTGAAATTATTTTTAACACTACTGTGTTCAATTGCATTTGTTATTTGATTTATTAAAATTTATGTTTAATAATCATTTTCTAAGTTGTTCATGCATGCATAAATATCTCAATAGTGTCCATGTATGCATGTCGTACAACGGATTCCAAATAGACTTTATTATTCTAAAATATTTGAACTTCAGTTCCTGCAAAAAGTTATATCTCAGTCTGTCAGCAGATGGCATGATGACTTCAGCAATCGTTTGACTTCGCAAAAAATGAGATCAATATGTTATCGGCAATTCATTATATCTTGACATGGTCAACCAATTTAGTCCAATAAAGTTTGTCTAAGAGATCATATTACACATCCAATAAAACAACGCAAACTTGATTAGTTTTGGACACGTTTCGTTTTTTTATTAACGCCCTCATTAAACACAGCTGTGAATGATGAGGTGCAGTATTCAATATTTACGGAAAACACAGTTTATCATCACATTTGAACAGGGAATAAGAAGAAAGTAGGGCACTCCAAAGTTGGCCAGACAAATCATTAATAATGAAAGATATTGTAGTGTTCGTTGTGGCAATATGTGTTCTTGGCATTGCTGGAAATACTCTCGTGATCGCTTCAATTTTAAAACAAAAGATTCTGTTAAAGAAGAACTACTACTTTCTTGTCTTGCATCTTGCAATATGTGACGCATTTGTACTATTGAGTATATTTTTCTTTGAGATCTTTGAACACCATTTGAAAAGCAAACCAATTTTGTTAAACTGCTCATATATAAGTGGCATAGATACTTTTTTTCAAATAGGTGGAGTATCTATGATGTTGATCATTTCAGTTCTACGTTATCGTGCGATAGTTCATCCATTGAAACTTTCCTTCAGTCGACAAAAGATAAAAATCGTTTGTGGTTTAGCGTACATCATTGGCTTAGTTACGACAGTTGGAATGACATTTCAAGAGTGCATTGTGGATCCTCAAGCTCGTTATTTTATTTACGAATTGTTTGCGTTTTATTCATGTTTCTACATTTTCCCAATAATCTTCATGACTGTGACTTATTCCATAATCGCTCAAGCATTGATTAAACAAAGAAAAGCACTACGAACACTCTCCAATCCGACACATTCTCATCTACAATCCTCTACCAGCTCAAGTCTTCAAAGATATAATCGGCATAGTAAGACATTTATTGTTTGTGTCAGCACAGTTCTCTGCTTCACAGTGGGTCACGCTTGTTTTTTGGTTGTAGACGTGCTATATTTAAACAACACTGTTCCCTCAAATTCATCCACCAATCTTTACGTTGTTTATGTTCTCCGTCTTTTTGGCTCACACGCGTTAAATCCTCTGATCTATGGAATATTGGATAGAAAAATGTTGTTTTTATGGAAATGCTGCCCCAAAATAAGACCAATCTAAGTTGTTTTCAGTATCAAAAAGTAGAGATTTTTTATATAGGGGCTCCTTTATGTATTTCGAACATTATAAAGTAGCTAGAATATAATTTAGTTCTGAATTGCTTTGTGAGCGTTTATATGATTCTAAGAAATGCATTTTTGTTGATTTCCAACAATACATAATTTCATAATAGTATTGTAAATCAAGTCGGCATGTTTTCCATCTCTTTATTTACTTTACAAATAAAATAAATAAATGTGTTCGACATGATGATCTCAAAATTAATTTTTGCAGAGTTCTTTCTGTCAACAAATATTTAAAAGTTATCAGTTTCCTGTCAAATTTGTCATAGATAAGGACATTTATTCAATCTACAACAGCATTTTGCAAAACTATTCAGCATCTTTGTAAACATCGCATATTTTGCTTTATGCCGAACAAATAAATACTAAAATGAGATAAAAGCATTTTGACTGCATACACGTAGTGACGTATTACAAATGCAGTAGGCTAAGTAGGCTGAAGCCTACAGGCCCGCCTTTTCAAGACGCCCGTTGTATTTAGACATATTTCACCTTTAGCCTTTTTGTTCTAAATTCGACCATATATGCTGCTGGAAACTTTACGATCTACTGTTTTAATGCTTAATGCACAAAACTCATAAAGTGCAGGGGACTTACTCAAGTTGAACTTTAAATTTGTTCCTCAATGTTTACACTATATGAGTTACAAACAGAAGCCAGGAAATGCAAAAGCAATGGAACGCATAAAACACAAACGTCATCAAAACACTGAACTTATTTGGAGGAACAAATATCACTTAAAGACCCACAGCTTTGTCGTAGCCTACAGGCCTTGTAATTAGTCATCCGCCACTGTATATACCCAGTGCAATAACGGAGAAAACATACAAACTATAACGTCTTTATAACCTCAGGGTTAGATACGAAATTCTCTTTCTAAAATGTACATCAGTTTTTGGGTACTTTGAAAAATCTTATTAACCAGGCTTAACCGTTAAATAGTTTGTCAGCTACTGCTTCGACGCAACACGCATCATTTCTCTATATTTTTGAACGCTGTAAATATCTTACCTTTTGAAATGAATTTTATTGATATGATTTGTGTACGCTAGTTTTTCAAAAGCAAAAGTTGAATTTTAAAACATTTTAATATGAGGAGAGTAGTCTGGTTTTAAGGGAAGATTTGAGAAAGGCTCTAGGTGATCAAAAAAAACTCTCAGATAAATGGATAAATGCAGCAAATATGATCAGGAAGAAAAGAAAAACAATAGTCGGTGTAGTAAGAAGATTTCGTGAATGAATAGAAAAGGACTTGAAACACTTGTAAAAAAATGTATATGATAACAAGAGGACTTAGGAGGATAAATATGAGAACAAGATACGTCGTTCGCTTTAAGGGATCAGAGATGTAAGAGATTAAGAGCACTATGTGAATATGAGTATTTAGATCGTCTTCAACCGATGCAAACAATGATTTCCTCACATCTTAGGCTGCCTTCTTCACTTATACGGTTTTTCAACATTGTATACAAGAAGTATGATTTTGCACTGCCGAGAGAGTTACTGAGTGGGGTGTTGGTTGGCAGAAGGGGTCTCGTTGGTAATTATGAAATTGCCATGAAATGTCGTCAACAATAAACGTTAGTTTGATGGCATGAATTTTTGTCAACTCTTTTATGATAGATTATTACACAACACAAGAAAATTCACTGTCTAAACTACCATGTAAACAAAATAACAAAGTACAAATAGATATTTATCATGTGACAGCTTGGTCACAGTATAGGAATATACAGTAGTGCCACTTCGCTGTGCAACTGTCTGCTGTTATTTAGTTAGTTTACTGGCTGCCGTTTGCCATATCGTCAATCCTATTGGTCACACAATGCAATTTACTGACTGCCAATAGGGTAATCACGTGCGTAATAAGATCTGCGTGGCACGAAAAAATTCAATGGAGTGGCCCTACTGTATGTTCTCTATACTATCGCTTGGTTGCATTGGTTTTACTTTTCAGAAACTAACAAGGTAAATTCATCACTTGCTTTTTGCGTTAGAATTTTGTGGTCGACCGCAATCAGTGTCTTAATATGTGGATCATTTGATAGACAAGTCCTGCACTTTTGAAAGTGTTGAACAAGAATAAAAATTTAAGCTAATTCAGATGACAGACGTTTGATATTCAATCACTCACATTTTTCTTTTTCTAGTAGTTTAGATGTTGAAACAACATACCGTTAATGCCTTTAAACAAATGTCCTTTTATGAATTTAATTACAGAACCAAAAAAGACACTTAAAAAATATCTGTTTCGAATGATACAAGTCGAAACTGAAACTAACTAAAATATGATGAGAAACGAAATACATATTTTCAAGCAATTTACTTGCACACTAGATCTTGAATAACACAATGTTTCCAAGAAATAATGAGAATTGTCTATAGATTATATTTCAACTTTACATTTACGTGGAATATTCGACAATTAACTAGTGTTCTCTAAAACTATCAAGAGAGAAATATTGAGAGGAAATTGTTGTATTTTATTTATATTCAATTCTGACAAACTGAGACTTGTTCATTTAGAAATTACCTATAGCGATAGTGAGCTAATTATATTTTTTAAGTACAAAGTAAAAACGCCATCTTTTCATGACAAATGCATGCATGAATTTATATTTCACATTTTTACAGTTGAGTTGCAACGTTTGACGTATCTGCACGCAAATAACATTGTGAAATGGTTTAAAAACGAAATATTGCATGTTGTAAGAATACAAATACAGGGCTAAATAATTGACACATGATTCCAAGATTTGAGGCATGAAGAATATTTTTTGTTTGTATTGGCACATTTTCTGTTTTTCATTGAACATGTTTATTTTGTGGTTGCAGACGTGCTATATATGAACAACTCTCTTTCATCAAATTCTTCCACAAACGTTTCGTTATAAAAAAACCCGCATAGAAACAACATGGGTTTTACGAGGAAATTTCATATGACCCCATATGTGATTTGCACGTTGATATATGCTTCTCATGAGGTTCCAAACGGCTTTTATTTACTGTAATAATAACTTAAATTAAGTAGAATTAAAAGGATTAATGCTATTTGATATTTAGTGAAGTATTTCAACAGCATAATCGTTCGCGGTTTCTGATTGGTCTGTTTTACCCCACATTTAGTAAGGTCCGTTTCAAACATTGCATTTTACATGCGCCGAAATCATTAAAGACAAAAGAAAATGAGATAAAATTCCTCATTTTCTTTTGTTTTAATTGCATTCGGCTCATGTAAAATGCAGCGTTTGAAACAGGCCTAAGCCAGCCAGTCAATTGCTTTTTTTTGACCAGTAGGAGCACTAAAATGGCTAGCCGCAGCCAGTAAACTAATTAAATATACAGAACCAAGTTGCACAATGGAGTGAGACTACTGTTTGTTTCTATACTGTGCTTTAACATACTCCTTAATCTCTCGAGCACTAATCAAACAAAGAAAAGCCTCAGACCCGTTTCAAATGTCGAACTTTAAATCTACCGAATACAATTAAAACAAAAGAGAATGAGAAAGTTGCACAGTTGCACAAGGAGTGGACTACTGTTTGTTTCTACACTGTGAGTTTAACTTACTCCTTGGGGACAAGTAGCAAGGCTTCACGTGCCGTCCCTGATTTCGACTGATTGCTACAACACGCGCAACACTTCCAAACTTCCAGCCCGAGTTTGGATCGCCCCTTCGCGCGACAAGATATGATGATGATCATGACTTACTCCTTAATCGCTCGAGCACTAATCAAACAAAGAAAAGCCTCAGACCCGTTTCAAACGTCGAACTTTACACGAGCCGAATATAATTAAAACAAAAGTTCATCTCATTTTCTTTTGTCTTTAATGCTTTCGGCGCATGTAAAATGCGACGTTTGAAACGGGCATAAGAGCACTCTCCAATGGAAAACCGTCTCATTTTCAAGCCTCAAAACAGGGATAAATTGAAAACATAATTCTTTTGTCGTCAAAGGACGGGATTAGTTAATTATTAAGACAGCCTCCGTGACGTGTAACTGAAAGAATGAACGGCATTTCTCTCCTTTTGAAGATGACGTACACTCTTTCTTGACATTATATATATCGGTTGGTTTTAAAAATTTCATTTAGCAGACGTTGACACCCGAGGAGTAGTCTGCCGAAATGCATCGTGTCGTTTAGTTCTTTTAGAACTATTGGGTTAGTGTTGTTTACATAAAACAGTTCTTTTAAGAACTATTAAATTATCACTTTACTATTTCGTTAATTCTAAAATATTTGAAATTCAATCTTGCATAAAAGTCATTTTCTTAGTCCAGCAGTAGGCATGAGTACTTCAAAGATCGTTTCACTTGGGCAAAAAATTAGATGATTTGTTATCGGCAATTCATGATATCTTGACATGGTCGAACAACTTAGTCCATTATAGTTAGTCTAAGAGACCAAATTATGGTTTCACAATCAGCAAAAAACGCAAACTTGATTAGTTTTGCATTCGTATCGTTTAAGAACGCGCCCTCATTAAACACAGCTGTGCATGATGCGATGCGGTGTTGAATATTTACTCAAAAACTGATACTTTCACTTCATAAGAAAATATGTATATTCAGATGTTCTATAGACTGCCGGGAAAAAACATTTTCTTACCCCTTCGGACTTCAATAGCCCTCTTCACTTCTATGGGATATAAATTTTGAAGTTCACTTACTTGACGCACATTTTGGTCATTTATTCGTGATTTTATTTCAGTATTCTAGCAAATTTTTGCTGTTTTCGCGTTAGAGACGACCTTACGCTGTAATGACGTCTTTTTATTCTCCTGTAAAGCGAGAAAAGACGACATTAAGGCATCTGAAAGATTGGCTTATTGGATAAAATTGCTGAAAAAATTCACTTCTACATTGGTAGAAAGCGAAGATGTTAGTCTGTAGAAGATGTCTCGTTGGTAATTATCAAACAAAAAAATCTCAAGAGAATGGTTGCAAGTCAAGAATAAGATTGATGATTGTGATGTAACTTCTTAATTTCTTGAGCACTTGCTATAACATGCAACAAAGTGAATTGATTTCCATTTACGAAAGCTCTTAAAGTACAATGGAAATGATCAAACAAAATTTTATACCAGTATTTTATACCAGTACTTTGGATAACACTCGTTAAATTGTCTGATCTATAATGGATATGGAAAAACAATGTCTTTAGTGGAAATGCTACTCCAAAATAAAAAATGTTCA